CTATGCACTTGTGAACTGACACAAACCTGTCTCTGTAACTCCCAAACTCCTTTACTGTATGGGCTTTAAGAATGCCTTATCCACTGCTGTATTCCATACAGTGTAGAATCAAGTAACTCTCACTTCACAGCAAATTAATCTTTTAAACCTTTTGTCTGTTTTTTAAAATATTTCATTTTTTAAAGATGTTACTTATTTTGAAAGAGAGGAAAAGGGAGGGAGAAAGAGGAGGGAAACATTGATGTGAGAGAGGCAGCGATCGGTTCCCTCTCCATTGGTTGCCTCTCACACGCACCCTGACCCACTGAATCCTCAACCCAGGCATGTAGCCTTCCTCCTTGTGGGACTGTGCCCAGCCAACTGAGCCACTCTGGTCAGGGCTGTTGACTATTTTTGATTGTGTCATTTTGTTTCCATATTCTTGAGTTTCCATAGTTCTTTATTCTGAATACAAGTTCTTTATGAAATATTTAATTTGCTTATATTTCTTTTTAGTCTATGACTTGTGTTTTCATTTTCTTATCAGAATCTTTGAAATAGCAGATATATTTAATTTTGACAAAGTTCAATATATCAATTTGTTCTTGTATGGAATGTATATCTAGTGTTATATCTAAGAAATGTTTGCCTACTAAAGGCTTTCTGTAGTATTTTATTCTAGAAATGTTATAGTATAGCTCTTACATTTAGGCCATAACCCATTTTTAGTTAATTTCTGTATATAGTATGAGATATTGTTTGGAGGTTGTTTCCTTTTGTTTTGCATATGAAATTCCAATCATTTTGGAACCAAATGTTGAAATTGTTTTAGCGCTTTGGTAAAAAATCACTGCTTGTAACTATGTGGGTGTATTTTGGCTTATTATTGTGTTTTATTGATCCACCTGTCTATTTTCATGCCACTACCACACTTGATTAGAATTGTTTTATAATCCTGAAAATCAGAGAGCATAAATCTTCTAAATTTCCTTTTTAAAAAAAAATGTTGTTTTGGGCATTCTAGCTCCTTTTAATGGTCATGTGACTCTCAGAATTAGTTTGTTACTCTTTACAAAATAATTTGATAATTTGTCATTGTAAGGGTCTTTTACGTATTTTATTAAATTCCTAATGCTCCATATTTCTTGATTATATCATAAAATATATTTTTTAAATTTTTGGTTTCTGATTTTTCACTATTAGTATATAGAAATACACATTTTAAAAAATACTGTTATTACATCCTGGAAGCTTATAAAATTTACTAATTCTAGTAGCTTTTTGTAGATCCTGTTGGACTTTTTATATAGTTGAATATGCAGTCTGCCATTAATGATAGTTTTACTCCTTTCCTTCCTGTCTGGATAAATTTTTTTTCTTATTTCACTGAATAGAACCTCTAATTTAACATTGGTTAGAAGGGGTGAATACTGACATTCTCATATTATCCCTTGTCTTAGAGAGGGAAATTTTAGTAGTTCACCATTAAGTACAATGTAAGTTGTAGATTTTTGCTAGATGCAATTACCAGGCTGAAAATTATCCTTCTATTCCTAAATGGCTGAAAATATTTTTATACATTGATTTTGCATTTACTGAGATGTTCCTGTGGTTTTTTCTTCTTCTTCCTCTTTTTTTTGAGTTTGCCTGGTTCCACCTGAGCTCTTTCTTTCTGCACTAAAACCTGGAACCTTCCACATGGCAATAAATTCTAGCAATGGTAAGGCTACCTTTATTGTTTCTCAAATGTAGGGAAGCATTGTTTTTCAATGCCTCTTGTCCGATGTCTTGGTAATCATCGATTTCTAATTTTATCCATTTGCTTCATTTCTTTTGTTATATTGATGTTTTGGTGGGAAGTAAATCTAGGTCTTGTTATTCCAGTTTAGTGGTGTACAGAAGCCCCTTAGTTCCTAGATATGTTGAAATAACACTATAAAATTATAGCTGATTTGGCATCACAAAATTGGTCCAGCAATAATAACTCCATATCCTGAAAGGATAAAATGTTGTGATATATAAAATGGTTTAACATGATGTGATTTAGGGTTTGAAATAATTTTCAAATGAAAATAGAAAGTCCAAATATATTATAAAACTCTGGAATAACTTTTCATGGATACAGAGACAAGGCTAGTTATTTTTTTAAACATGGCTGTTTGTTTTACACTGGGTTCTCCAACAAATAGACTCTGGAACACATTTTGGCATATAATATCTTTATCAAGAGTGCCCTTGGAATCAACATCATGTGTTCAGAGATGCTGGGGAGCAGGACTGGGCAGAGTGTGAAGTTGAGCTGAAAGAAAAAGCCCCATTAATTCCTTGCTGGCCTTACGGGTAGCTCAAAAATTGAACTGGCCCATCCCTGTTGTCCTGCTTTATGGTGGAATGGCAGCTGAAGCAATCCTGTGGGGAAAATAGCTAAAGGAAATCTAGGTAACACTCCTGGGAGGAGGGGCAAAAAGCCCTTCCCTGAGAGGGGACAAGTGATCTGCATCAAGATGTCCTTCACAATGATATAAACAATAGAAAAGTTAAATGAGTGAGTGACATATATAAATTCCCTAGTGTTTTCAGGTAACACTAATTTGATATATATATATTCTATATATAACACTATTTGAAATATATATATATTCTAGTATACTTGTTAAGTAAAATAATATCAAGTATTTCCAATTTACTTATTTTTATTAGACTGAATAAAAAGTTACAGAACACCAAGGAAGATGATAATAAGCTCTTTAATAGGAAAAAAAATCTTCCCTGTCATTATTAGGAGCTTTTTGAAACAAAATATCATAATTCTTTGTACTCTTTCAGAAAGTAGACCTTGGCATGTTTTTATAAAAATTTGTGGTTGGAGTAGTATGTTTCTGAGTCATACTACCAAGGAGTGTTTCCAAGGACCTTTAGAATTGCATTCTGAAATTCACTTGACTATTGATTGACTAATCAAGACCTTTATTGAATACAAGTCAAATTTTGATCTATATACTCACTAGTGACCTTCATAAATCAAAAACAAATTGCTTCTGGAATTCTAAAAGCACCCTGATGCTTTTTCACACGTGTGTGTGCGCAGACACACATGCACACACACACCATACACGGTACTTCAGTTGTAGTAAGTCTCTTATATTCCCCTGTCAGTGCACCTTCAGTCATACATTGAAATAATACCAGCAACTTCCCTGAATGTGAAAAAATGACACAGTCAAGCAATGTAAGTGATAACCCTCTAACTGATCACTGGATAAGTAGCCTGGTATCCAGTGCAAGATATGATCCATTAACATTCAGGCAGTGAGTAACACCGATCTATCTATCCTGAGCTTCTCTGGAGACATTAATTTATATTTTATTTTGGGAAATGAGCCTTATTTTGTAATTTCTTAGATCCATATTATTATGGGTTAATAAGTCTGAAATGTTATTGAGGAAAACAAAAGAATGTGAACATTGGTCAATTCAATATGTTATACATTATTTTCTGTGAACACCTAAATCTTAGTATTTTGAATTTAAAATTCTGATGTTTGCTTAGATATATATCTTCCCACATAATTTTTAAGTCACTATTAAAAGAAAATTTGCTTGATAAGGGAATATGTTATATTTTACATAATTTTAACAACATTTATTTTAGAGGGTAAAACTATTAGCTTTTGTAGGTAGACTAATTCCTTACATTATTAACCACGTGAGTTTTAGTGATATAAAGTATTATTGTTTGGGGGATTCTCTCAGTCCTGCAAAGCCAGGCACTGATAGCCTCCTGTTTTCTTTCCATTGGATGGTGCTGAAAGCTCAAGTTTGCGTGCTTTTTCCCAGCCTCGCAGGAGGTTTGCTGTGTGTGCTCCCGAGCCATCTGCAAAGCCTTGCACCTGCTGCGCTCAGGTGCACGCACAGAGAACCACCATATTGTCGTGGGGTGTATGGGTGAGATGCACAGAGCAGTGGGGCTGCCCATGCTACAATTGGGAGGCTCCCTGAGCGAAGCGTTCCAGAGCATCATAGACTGACTTTGTGATGGAATTCATCAAGCATTTGATAGAATCCGAGTCCCTTTGATCTCCCTAGAGAGCCCTGGCTGCTGTTCTCCTAGCTCCTCCCAAACAGCAGTTAAAAGCACACCTTAGTATCCTGGATGGAAAAGAACTGGCAGCATGCACAACTGGGAAACCAGGCGCTGCCTCACAACCTCTCACTTTCCATTGTGAAAGAAATCGCCAGCCAAGAAGGTGTACTTGGCATTGAGCTGTGTTGCCTTGAGGGGTGAAGCAGATGAAGTAAAACCATCCCTTTTTCCAAGCGTGTCTGCTGAGTTTTTTTCTTTGCCCCAGGTATGGGCTGAAACTTCTCCTAGGCCTTCACAAAAGGGCCATAATCATGGGTGACTGTCAAAAGTTCATGTTCTTTGAGGGGGAGGTTCTAAAAAAAATCTATTCCCTCTATTCTGCTAGTGCTGTTGTTCATTGTTTATATTTTAAAGTCATAGTATTTATGAAATACTGTTTATTGCTTTTTATTTTGTTTTTAATTATTTTATCTGAATTTTAGCAAATATTTTTGTTAGCATATTTTTCTTTATAAATAAATCTAAATATACATACTGTTCACTTACGTTCTCCTCTAGATTGTTGCCATTTATTTTTCTCTGAATTGCATCTTTATTAAAAATGTTTTAGCGACTAGACAAAGAACATGAATGAATGACCCTTGGACATGGACAACAGAGTGGGGATTGACTGTGGGAGGCAGGGTGGGGGTGGGAAGGGTAGAGGAGGGTAAAGGGGGGAAATTGAGACAACAGTAATAGAATAAACATGATTTAAAAAAAATTTTTTTTTCGATGTGAAAATAAAACTTTAATTGGCCAAGGGAGCCTTACAGCATTCCCCGCACACCCCGAATCCCCACTTCCTGGACTGAACAAGCAGGGCCTCCCTTCCTCCCCGGCCAGAGGGTAGCATTCAGCTGGGAGGGCAGTACTGGACCTGCAGCTAAGGCCCTGCTCAGAGGTGGGCAGGGGGCTGGGCCGGCTCCTTTCGCCCCTCGCCAGCGATGGGCCGGCCTCGCTCCTCCCAAATGGTGAGGCCATCGCAGGAGCAGATCTGCTTGGGGTTCTGAAAAAGGCTGGCGGAGCGTGCGAAGATGCCACAGGCCAACCTCCTTCCTGAGTTCCCTGTGATCTTGGATAAGGGGTGGCCACCGCGGCTCAGGTCGTCTTCTCCCTCATCGATGACCAGGCTTCGGCCTATCACATCCCACACCTTCAGCTGCTCATCCTCCATTCTGAAGATGGCTCGGCCGTCAGCATCGGCATGGACGTTCCCAAGGTCTCCGCAGTGCCGGTCAGCGTCCTGGGCGCCCCCGTGAGATGTTCCATCGGGGTTAAAGTGGTCCCCACAGCTGTTGCAGTTCCTTGTGAGGTCCCCGAACTGATGGACGTGGAGTCCGTGTGGCCCAGGCTCCAGGCCGTCAGTGCTTCCCTCAATGAGGCAGCGCTCAGGGGTTAGCTGTAGGAAGCGCACCACCCCCTGCACAGGGCCAGGTCCCCCTAGAATGGCCACTGCTGCCCCCAGATTCTGCAAAAGGCCGCTGCCCATGCCCTTGAGTACCGCCTGCCGCCCCGTTCCTTCTAAGAGGGCCTGCACCTCCTGGCTGGGCAGGGTGGTCTGCACCGGGACCATCTGGTTCTCCAGCTGCACCTCTACACTCTCAACACCTGCCACTCCTTGCAGGGACTTAGGTACCGCGTCCACACAGCTCTGACAGGTCATCCGCACGGTGAACTCCAGCGTGCAAGTAGTCCCACGGTCCCCCGAGTCCGATGCCATCTCGAACCCAGCCACTGGCCAGAGGACCTGAGCTGCTAGAGTCCTATAGCGGAAACCCAGCGCCCAGTTCCCGAGGCGGCAGAGCCTCCTGATTTAAAAATTTTTTAAAAATGCCTTAAAATAGGACAATGTCACCATATCAGCAACAGTTGACCAGAAAAATATATATTATCTTGTCATATATGTCATAAAATTTTTTAAAAGAACAGTTCTGAATTTGAAATGATTACGGGAAGATTATGTCTTCTGCAGAATTACATAGACCTACCACTCTCCCATTGACATACTCAGCTATGAGTTACAACATTATTCAGTTATTATAAACCCCTTGTACCTAACCTGACTTCATTTGCCTTTGCGATGCTTAAAAGACCAGTAAAAAAGAAACTCATGTCAACAGGAGAAATAAAAATAATCCATAATGGGGAAAGTGTGTAAAAGATATGAAAGTGTTCCACTGGTAAAAGGAAAGTTGAACTGCATTTTAGTGTACCTTTTGAATATAAGAAGTTATTCAAAGACGGCTTTTTAAAAAAGAGATAGTCTCTCTGTATACTAAGAGCAGAAAATAAAAATTGGTTAATTTTAAAAGTAAATTGTACTTAGGTTAAAAAAGAAAGAGTGCATGATGTCACAGTATTGAAACTAGCACGGAAATGGAGTTTCTTAAAAATGGCAGAGATTAGCTTTATCCTGTGAAAAAAATATTTTCTAACTTAAAGATCATGGTCATTACTTTCTTAATACCACAAATATTCAATGAAAAATTGGGGTATTTTTGAAGAAAGAAAGATATATACACTTTTGAAATATTTCCCCAAAACTAGAATATAATTGTATGTATCTTTATAACATCCAATCTACTGTGTAGCTAATAATTTTCAAACTATAAGATATGAGTTCAATACTCAAACTGCCCTCAAAATTTGAAGTGTAAATATATTTTTGTGACTGATTGAAATGACGTATCATGTGTGTGTTTGTGTGTATGGAACCCCAAAAAATATTTTAAATTCTCATTTCTCATTGAACTACTACTAATTACTCTCACAATTGCAACTGATTCCAGAAGGGATCCTTAGCTAGAGAACAACACTAGGGATGAAGAAATAGTAATTAAAAGGTCCATTAGTACAGTATGAAGAAAAGAATGATAACTTACTTTAAATTATGCACATGGATTTATTTTTTTCTCATATCTAAGACAATATATACTAAATCTTAGGTGTGATTTTCACTATGTGTTTCTCCATTGTTACACCATTAACTTGAGAGAGAAAATTGCTTTTGACTGATGATTACATAAAGGAATCAATGTATAAGAAATAATACATGAATCAAACAATAAGATTTTTAAAAGATTCTACATTTCATTAATGCATAATTGTCCATTCAGGGTTATACAAGCCATCAGTCTAATGGAATAGAATGTAATGAAACACTTTTCACTTAGGGTCCATGGTATGGCAATTCAGGGGGCCAATGCTTTTCTAGAAGCATTATAGGACCTTTCCTGAGTTAACAGTACTACTTAGCAAATCTTCCTCTACAGTTCATAACTAATACATTTTATCTCTAATTATTGTGTTTCCCTTTTTGGTAAACATGAAGTTGCTGATTAGGTTAAAATGTGTTGTGCTGTCAACTTTTTTGGGAGCTTTGGGTATTTGGCAACTCACTCTGAATAACCATAATTAAAGGTTGTCTTTCATTTCATCTTAGGTAGTCTATTTGTGCTTTCATATGTATTCATTTCAATGATTTTTGGAGCTTTAGCCTAGAACCTTAATTTTAGCATCACTAAGATATAATACTTGGTACCTCAGGCAACATGCATAGTGATATATTTCCTATTGTCAAAATCATAAAGGCATTAAAAAGTAGCTGAGTAAGAAATCTAATTTCAGCACTTAGTCTATATAAACATATATTCTAAACTAATAATCCATTAAACCAAAAACTTATTTTTGCATTTCTAATGAAACTGACAAATTAATATAGTATTTGATGTGACATTATTTAGCTTACTGCTTTTTTTTTTAAACTTGCATTTCAATCAGTTGCTTAAAAGGTCATGTTTAATGTCACATTAGCACTTTCCCAGAAAGATTTATTTTTGTTTGGATTTAGGATGATAAGACAAAAACTTTATAAGTGTTCATTACAATGTAACTTTCTAAAAGTTCCATTCAAGATTTTAGCATAGTTTCAATAAGGTGTCCATCTTTAATCAATGCCATCTAACTGCTATAAAACTTTTATAACATAAAATAGCATACAGTGATATTTATTCAATGAGTTCTCCTCTCTTGGCTTTTTAGATTTCACATACAAATAGAAAAATGCATGAAAGTATAGTTACAGATATCATAACTATATAATGATTCTATGTATAAAATGTTATTCAGATTCTTCTTATACTAGATTAAAATTAAAATCAATGAGTTTTTAAAAATTTTTGAACATCTAAGTAACTCTCATTCTTTACCCTCTTTTACCTTCCACTGGCCAATAGCTTCTTCAAGCATAATAGAAAACGTTATTCCCCAATAGCCATACTGAGTCATATTGAGCATGACTATATATCAATATAAATATCTATCTCTATCTCTATCTCTACCTCTATCTCTATCATCTACATCTATATCATCTATATCAATAGCATATCTATGTCTATCTATCCATCTCTCTGTATCTAAGCACTTCTTTTGTGTGCTGTCCTGTTGAAAACAGTCAATCAGGGCTTTAGTGACTCAGGTAAACATATATGAAGTCAGTAGTCCCTGCTATTTTTGAAAGTTTGGTATTTTTTTCTTTTTTATTATTTGTCATTGGTGAGTGGCTTACTTACTGTGCAATGATAATTAGTTAATGATGCAGACTTAAGAAGAATTTGGTGATAGTTTTAGGAGGGGAAATTATTTCTTGATTTCTTTTTAAAGATTTTATTTATTTATTTTTAGACAGAGGGAAAGGGAGGGAGAAAGGGAGAGAAACATAAGTGTGTGGTGGCCTCTCGTGTGTCCCACCCACCACCCCCACCCCTCGCCACCCCGGAGACCTGACCCACAACCCAGGCATGTGCCCTGACTGGCAATTGAACCTAAGACCCTTTGGTTTGCAGGCCCACACTCAATCCTCTGAGCTACACCAGTCAGGGCTATTTCTTGATCTTTTAAGAGGGATAAAATGTTTTATCTTATTTATTGACATAAAAAAAATGGAAACACATGGATTCCAAAGCTACTGATATACTTTGATTTTTCAGGATTTGTTAGCTTTAAGTTGAAGAAAATGCAGTGAAAGACATAAAGGAGACAAGGAATGAACTTCTCTTTTCATTGAGTTTTTGTATGTTCCTTGATGAATTTTAATTATATGTACCACAAATATCTCTATTTTAGCCAAAAATAACTGGTAATGTCCTCATTCTCATAATCAAAGTAAAAGTACAATTAGGAAATCTGGGATTTTTTTTCTACATTTTTTTACAAGTCTTTCAAGTTCTGAAATCTATGATGTGTCACCTGTTTATATATATAAATATATTTTATATATTTATATTCTGTACAGAAGGTATCCAGGCATGTCTAATATTGAAAAACAGAGACATTTATTGAAGAAGATGCAAGAAACATTGTACACAGGACAATGACACTTCTGTTCCCTTCAAAGTAGGCACCTTGGAACCTCACACAGTTCTCCCAATCGCCATCAGTTACCCTGTCATATTTTCCTGAATCTCATCAACAGTCTGAAATCGCTTTCCTTTCAAAGGTAATTTTAGTTTTGGGAAAAGCCAGAACTTGCAGGGCACCAAATCTGGGCTGTAGGGGGGCTGAGTCAGCTGGATGATTTTATGTTTTGCTAAATAACTCTGCACAAGACGTGATGCATTAGTGGGCAGGTTGTTGTGATAAAGCTGTCAATCACTAGTTGCCCATAGCTGCAGCCTTCTGAATTATCCAAATGGTTTCCACAGACGAATATTTGAGCTTACTACAAAATCTGTTGCCGATTCATTGCTCCACTCACTCAGTCATTCTGAATGTGACAGCCACACAGTACACATGCTCACTCAATGGCGTCTACTGCCCCTACAAACTAGTACAGTGAGATCATCATTATTCATACATGTGCATTCCAGTCCACTATCCTTGCCTGCCAGGCTACATTAATGTTACTCAATCTATATTAACAATGGCTGCACTTTTTCCAGACAGACCTTGTATTTCATCAACCAAAAGATAATAATTCATATAATTTCAAAGGTTAAAAAAATCAATTTTAGAAAATTAAGAATTCAGAGACATTAAACTGAATTTTAAAAATAAACTAGATAGTTACCATTTATTTTACACAATGAAATACAGGTTATTAACATTCAGGAATCACAAATTGGCATCTACCACTTTTTTCCCTGATGTTAGGCAAATGTTATTACCTAGTGCTAATATTCTTTTCTAAAACCATAGCCTCTTACCAGTCTTTTTAATGTAACTTCTCTGCCCATATGTTTACATTTTTAATTTATTTTTTACAAATCTCTTTTATTTGTTTTCCAAAGAAAAGACATAGTTAAAAATGGATAATCTTGCCACTTACTTGTGTCTTAAAAAAAATAATCATGGGTTATCCATTATCTTCTATGTTTAGCTATCACCACACTGAATTCTGAGGCTGATTTTTCCTTTTTTGCTTATATATATTTTTTCTATTTGCATCCCTAGGAAACTTGTTCATGATACTTAATATTCAGTGACTAAGCAAATATGTCTGTATCTCTATCATTGTTTCAGAGCTGCTTCTATGTCCATTCCACTTGTACATCTTGTATATCCTCAAACTTCTTTATACATACATTTATCTTGCTCAGTTGTTCACTTCTCACTACTTTCCTCATCACTTTATTATGGCTTCTGAAAACTATCATTTAATTCCCATAACCACAAATTTTTCTCCCTCTCTCTCTCTCTCTCTTTGTCTCTCTCTCTCTCCCC